TAAGGTCGATCTTCGGCTGAGTAAAATGCAATTTCTTAATAATAATCCTAATAATTAAACAATACAAGTGACTAATATAATAATAATTTTACCAATATAATGTTAATCATCAGCTGAGTAAACCAAACATGACATGCGAAAATTCTAATTAAGGTCTGCAAGAAAGAATTTAGTAGAAAGATTAACAATATTTTATAAACATTAACGATCTTATTTAAAAAAAATGTTTTTATAATTAAATAATTTGATCCTTATTACGAATATAAAAAGGAAAATATTAATGTGAAATAAAGAAAATAATAAAAAATTATTATCAGATGCCAAGTAAATAATAGAAGGTATCAAAAAGGGTTCGATTTTATTCGTTTTCCGCTTTTTTTTTTCATCATTAATTTTTCATATTAACATTATTATAAAGAAGGCCAAGGCAACAATAATAATCACAATGATAATTATGGTAGTAAAGACGATAACAATGATAATAAAGATGATGATGGTCCATTTATCACGCTAGCCAAAGTCGTTTGTGATAATTTTTATACTTTAAATATTTTTCTTTCTTCTAAATTTACCATTAAATATTCATGTAATTTTAATTGTTTTTAAATAAAAGAATTTGTAAAAAAATGTATTCTTTTGATTTTTATGATTATTGTTGTAGAATAAGAATTAATAATTCAAAGCTTTATTTATCGATCGTGTCAATTAAAATGCATGTTTCGAAACATGACTATGATTTTTATTAAATGTAAAGATTGTACAATAAATTAAATTCGTTATTTTTTCTATTAATTAAGCGGGATATAACATATCATTGTCATGATAATCTAAATATTTGACTTAATTGAATACAAGTGCAAATAAAAAAAGCTTTGATTACCGAAATTTTATTGTAACAATTGAAATTATTTTTAATTAAATTATCGAATTAATTAAATTATTGAATTAATTAAATTAATTGAGTAATCTAAATATGCATTAACGAAAATTTCGATTAGAATTGAGATACAAAAAAAAAAATTCATAAATATTAGGATTAAGGGTTGATCTATCCATTCACATGAATTCTATGTTCGGATATTTATCCACATGATTATATGTATGTAGATTGAGTCATATGTAGGCCAAGGAGAACATGTGCTTTGTCCGGCCTCATTTTCTCTAAGTGATACATGAATTTTATGTAGATCAATAAATCACACGTTCAGATCTCCATTCACATGAATTCTATGTAGAACAATAGATCTCCATCCACATGAACTCTAGTAGATCAAGAAATCACGTTATTCACATGTCTTATCAACTTTTAATGTTATTTTGTCACACAAAATTTAGCAACAAAATTCATAAAATTTGATCATTTTACAACTCTGTGGGATCTTTTAAAATTATTAATTTACATGTAGATCAAAAATCACACATTCAGATCTTCAATAAAATCACATTTTTTATCAACTTTCAATATTACTATTTTTACCAAAACTTTTTCGCAACAAAATCCATAAAAATTGATCCGTTTCACATGCTTGGTAGATATTTAGATATTTTCAATTTTTCAATTATTACTTAAATGCTACCCAAGTGAATTTCTACGGAAAATCATTTGATAAATGATCAACAAGAATATTTTTAACATATAAATATTACTATCCAAGTAATTTTCACAGAAAATCATATAATATATATATGATAAATGATCAATAAGGATATTTTTACTGTTATTATTCTTTCAAATTAAAGCTCAACGGTGATGATTGTCATTACAGGACAAAATTGCATAATTCCCTAATCAACCCCAAACCTAACTTTATCTATAAAAATTTATTTTGTCCAGTGGTGACAATCAAGCTGGTAAGCTTTGGATCTTTCTAAATATTATTACTTCCCTTACTTTGAAAATTTATTAATTTTATTTATCATTATTTAGTTTTTTAGATATATATATTAATTTAGAAAATATCGAAACAAAATGTATGCATCTCTAGTTCTGTTTGTCAAAAATGTTCACTAGAGATTTCCATTTGTTTGCCTGGGTTTATAAGTAAACTGAAGCTCCTTACTTATTTAAAGTTGAGAATAGGTCAAGGCTATTTCAACTCCAAAGCCCATAAAACTGTTGGAGTTTCCGCTTTCCTGAGGGAAACTTTGCCAGAAACTGACTACTAGATGGTTTGATTAGTCTTTCATCTCTATACCCAAATTTGACAACCAATTTTCATATCAGAACCACTATGAGCTTGAAATAATTCACCATCTTTTGGATCCCAACAGATGTACTCTGACTCAAATCTATTAAAAATTTTCTTATCGAATGATGATACTCTTCCTACCTATATTCACTTTCATTATGTGTTCCCCAAAAACTTATACTTTTTGTTATACTCCTTGGCCTGTGTTTCAAGACAGGTTATTTAAAACCATCCCATCCTTAGTCAAATTTTTGATCGCTATAACCTAATAGACATTAGTACCACAGCAACAAAAATCTGCAATCCTAAATCTCAAAGGCTACTTCACTCAAAGTCTATGACACTCTCCTGAAGCAGAACTACTTTTTTCCAAGTATTTTATTACCTCTGAAATTGATGCTAACCTGCTAAAGAAAAAATGCATTTGACAGATCCCAAGTAAAAAGAGAAACACTTTGAACCTGCCTATACTCCTGAATTCAAAATTCATCAAACTGAATTTTCGCTAGTACAACTGACTTCAGTTTTTTCCCTTTCAACAATTTCATGTACTATTTAACTCTCTTTTCAAATTTCTTTTAAATTTTCCTTCAGTACTTGATATTTAGTTTTAGGTGAAGTCTACCACACATTTTGAGCTTCATTTCCATTCTTAAAAAATGAATATTAGACATTTCGTACTGATCATGCACAGGTTCTTACTCGCCATGATGTTCTTATTTCAAAGAACATAAACCAGACTTCCACACCAATATTGTTTCTTCAAATTGAAATTTGACTTGAAAACCAGGTTGATTTAAAATTTGAGCTTTCCTACTTGGCTCACCATTACTAGGAGAATCAGTCTGTCCTATTTCAATATTTTCTGTTAATGTATTCAGACACTAGCCTGCTTTAAACACTCTAATTTTTTTCAAAGTAACAATCCTGATTTCCAATCATACCAAATCCAAATTAATGACATGAAAGTTCTACCCAAAGTTTAACAATGAGTTTTTTATCTGTCACAAATTTAATATATGCTATTGGAAGCTGGAATTATCTTAGCTACTGGTACTAGACTTGCCTTCCAATTGTTCCTCGTTAAAAGAATTAAATTGTAACCATTCCATTTATTGAAACTATCTTCCTGTATTGGGATAGGATAACATGTTGGATGTGATAACCATTTTTCAAACTTTCTCTTGAGAATTAAATCCTGATTTCTCATTATCCATTAAAACCATGGTAGGCCTTTATCCTACCATTGAAATTTGATATAATAAAAATTTGAATAATTCAAGACCATGCAATTCATTAAGTTATCATATCATGATTACAAACATTAATACTCATTAAGAAACCTTTGCAGGATATTGGCTTCTTATCAATAGATGCATCCATTCTAGAAGTAGAGATTTTTTACATATATTAGCTCTAGAATTGCTACAGTTATCCAAGTAGTAATTAGACTATCAAATAAATTACAACTAATTTAATGAGCATTTGTATTTTCATTTATATAAATGTATTATATATAGACATGCATGGCCAAATCTTTAAGAACAAAAATTTCTTTTTTTTTTGGAATTTCACCCCTCTGGGTGAATTTACATACAAGTATCTTCGAAATTTTTGAGAATTCTCACTGCACTATCCATAATTGTTCCGAAAAACCTATATCATTTGGATATAAAATACACACAATTTGCCTTCATATAATATTGAATAATTTTTTTAATTGCCAATATTTTGATTAATTTTCTAATTTATCACTTTTGAGAGAAAAAAATTCAAGAATTTTTCCCCTCACAAAATGATAAACTACATCAATAATTTTTTTTTTAATTAAAAAAAAATATCTCAAAAAAAATGGTTATCATGATGGAAAGAATGAATTGAAGAGTAAACAATATTAATTAATTGTTTGCTCCTTTTTTTCTGTTCCTTCTTTCCTCACAAAGTTGTAGACAATGAATTGTTTCAAAGTTTTGTTGATGAAAATTTATTGAAACAAAACATTTAGAACAAGACAGTTAAACATGTGAATTATTTACAATTGGATTTTATTTTTATTTATTAATATCTTGCAAAAAAATCAATATAAAAATTATAAAAATGATAAAAGTTTAATTTCATTTATTTTGTTTCACTTCATTTATTTAAATTAAATTTAATTATTTATAAAAAAAAAGATATTTGATTAGGTCTTTTGAACATTAAATTTTTTTAATTAATATAATTTTGCTTTATTTGAATGTTTTAATAAATCATGATCAGAATGAAATAATAGAAAATTACTCTTTTAAAATGCCACTTATGTTTTTAAATATGATTTTCCTTTTCATCATTATAATGATAATTAAAAAAAATAAAATTATAATAAAATACATTTAATGTTATATTTTTATTACATTAGAAGAAAATTTAACAAATGCTATACTTTAGATATTAAACTATGTATGTGGATACAGTAAATAAAATAAATACAATAAATAAGAAATCAAATCATGATCAAATCTCATCCATCTAGATATTTTCATTTTAGCAACCAAAGAATATCAGATATAATTATTAACAACCAAAATGAATCTTTAAGTGACAAGGAATGGAAAATAAAAGTCATGAACATGGTCAAAATAATAAATAAAAATATGATTTGTGATGAATATTTGGAATTTTTAGAAGATCAAGAATTAAATTTAAAATGTTGATTACAATTCCTTTTTCTTATCTTACGAAATACATATATGCATTTAGAATTAGATTTTTAATAAGAATTTAAATTATAAAATTAATATTCAATAAAAATCAGAAAAGGACTTCACATGTATTACCTTCTTTTCATAAGCTTTTTCTTGTAATAAAATTTTAACAATACAATTCCAAAAATAATAAACAATCAGTTACTTTGTGAAGATAGAAGACTGAAGTGAAAATGATGTTTGAAGATATTTGAATCTTTAATTGATACACTGTAATAGACAATTATAAATATCTTTTCTTGAAGATACCTATTAATAATATTATTAAAATAAATAATAAAATTATAAAAGGTATTAATTAATTAAATTATAAAGAAATTGGATTTTTATTTATATAAATGTTTCTAAAAATAAATATCCATTTTTCTATTTATTCTTTTACCCTTTATGTGGATCAGGATCAATGGAGAATCATGTCTCTGCGGATCAGGATCAACAAAAAGTCATGTTATGTGGATCTGGATCAACGGAAATCATTAGTTCACGTGTTCTATCGTTTTTTATTAGTATTTTTTTACAAAAAAATTTTAACAACAACCAAAAAACGTTTTCATACCTTCATCTATTTTGTGGGGAAAAGAGGAAAAGAAGGAAGGAGCAAATAGTGTTTATTCACTATATTGCTTACTTTTCAATTCATCCTTTCCTTTACTAATTAATTTTTTTTTTGATTTTTTTTTTTTATTAAAAGAAAAAAATTAAAGACGTCGATTTTTCCTTATTTATGTAAGAAAAAATTCTGTAAAACATATAACCACAGAATCTTCTGGCCCGGGAGATTCTGTAAAACGGAATCTTTATGATTCCATATAACCACGGAATCTTCTGGCTGGGGAGATTCTGTAAAACGGAACAGAATCTTCATGATTCTATATCACAACAGAATCTTCCGGCTGGGGAGATTCTATAAAACGGAATTTTCATGATTCCATGTAACCAAAAAATCTGCTGGCTGGGAAGATTCTATGATGAGATTCTGTGATATATTGTAAGGAATTTATGAGGAATCATGTTATAATGGTTATGTTTGATAGGTTTGATCTACTGGCATTTTCAAGGACAAGCTCACGTCCGAAAATGAGCAATAGACAACCTCAAGGGGTTTTGCCTCGGGTCTATAAAAGAG